GATCGCTCGACGCATTGGCCGACTAAAGCAAATATGAGGCACTGCAGGGTCTGCCCTCCCTCTCAAAAATTAAGTAACACGGGAAACGTGCTTCTCTCTGCACCAAATACTAAGGAAGCTGTAGAATTTTTAACCAGTATTCATGCAGTCATAATTAAAAGGCCTGAAAAAGTTCTGGCTTATTCCCAATTGTGCGTCGCCACTAAATTCAGACTTAAAAGGTTAAAGAACATTTAGAGAAAACTTTTCAAATCACAATACAGATTTCAGAATAATTTCAAGAATGTTCTTTTCCAAAGAACTGTATGGAAAGAAAAAAAATGCTGGATATATGCAATATTCAGATTGTTAAAGTATCATACTAATTTATAATTTATATACAAAGTATGAATATAGTACACAGGCCTTGAGGTTTGTCTCATTGATTGTCTATGTTATTTAGAGTAATTTTCTAATGTATGGAGTTTCCAACCTAGAATGTCTCTAGGGTTGCAACAAACACAAGTTCAGCTGCACGAGTTCTGTTGTGCACAATAAGAGCCATTAACCGCTGAAATATTTTCCTCGGATTCTGTGTTTGATGTTTCCTCTTCCAGTTCGTTGGCTGGGGATGAAGACTTAATCTGAATGGAAACATTTTTCTTTGTCTGTTCAGAATCAGCTAACTTACATGCCTCGATCACGTGGCGGTTGAATGTTTCTGCTTTATCAGCATATACGTGATGTCCTGCTCCTGATATTACCTGCAAATTTGTATGTCAACTGTTAACAACTCCATGTTACAGGAAACGTAAACAAATCTGTCAAGCCCAATCATCTATTAGAATAAATACATTTAAAATTTAATGTCCTCATTGATGAACTATTCGTAACTTAATTACTTACAAAGAACTACATGAAGCACAACAATTCTTGAGAATCTGATAGTTGCTTAGCTGGTAAAGTTCTCTGCTTTTATGAAACACAAAAAGGTTCATTATACTGTTCTCAATAGTTACCGCTGGTCTTCAGCCAGATCAGAGTCCAGTCCACACCATCCCGTACTATTTCCTCAAAATACATTTCAATATTATCCTCCCACCCACACCCAGGTCCTATTACACTTCTGTATGCATTTCACGTCTCCTCCATGTGTGCCTCGTGCTCCACCCTTCTCATCCTCCTTTAAAGATGCGACGGAAAATTAACTGAACTAACAGTAACTAAAAGAGGTCCTTGTAAATCTCAAACTTCACCAGTTTGTGAATCTTTTTTTCTTACTTTAGGTTTCAGAGCAGAATGCATGAGCAGTTAATAAACTGATCCATATGTACCTGGATATTGACATGTGAGAATGCATGAGCAGTTAAGGTCCTTGTTTTTATAAACTCATCCATATGTACCTGGATATTGACATGTGAGTCTTGTCGCTTTTCATGGATCAACTCTCCTGATGTATGGTCAACCCACGAACGTGAACCATATAATAATGTGATGGGAACATCTTCTCTGAGGGCATCTATTCGATTGACCATAGGATGCTTGGCCCATCCGAAGCTGACTGACATGGCACGGAATGCAGCTTCACCTCTGCAACAAGAATATGTACACAACTGCCTAAATTTATTTGATGAGAAAGGCTTTCAGCACTCCAGAATTATTCCCGTTTTCTCCGCGCATTTTCATAGTTACTGTTCCCACACTCCTCAGCTTCTGACAATTCCAGTCCTCATCCTTCAAAGTCTTTAAATTCACTCTAACCACTGCGTCTTGGTTTCTTCATTCCACTGGTATCTTTTGACGACAAGATTCTCTCAAAGATGGCTGTTTTCTGGGATGTAGCACCACGTAGTCTGGTAGAAGTTCTTTAGAGATCAGAGGTACGTGCTGCCTCAATCATCATCGTAATGAGTATCAGTAAACTTCTACCAGACTGCACACTGCTACAACCAAGAAGACAGCTATCTTCAAACTCACAGCTGTGAGGACCTCAAATCCTACTAAATTCCCACAAACTTTCCTCATATCCATCTTACCACAGCACTGTACACCTCTCAAAACAAAAATGTTCGTAGGGTTCAAGCAAGCTGTTTCCCTCTGCTTCAACATGCTCCATTCTGCCTTGTATGTCTTCAGATGTCCGACATACATGTTTAGTTTCTTTCTACGTTTCCCTATTCTACAAAATTCGACTAACAGATCCCTGATTCAATTCGGTTTCTTTAGAGTTAGACTTTTTTTTTAACACGCAACAAATATCATTCTTCTAATTAAATCTTTGTCGAAGGAAAAAGTCCGCCTATTTTCTTACACATCACACATTTCCTCGGTGACAAAAATGATGTAGATCCACACTTCCCAACAGAATAGCGACTTTCTCTCAGTATCCTCTGGACGGTTCACTCTCCATTACCACATGCTACAGGAACTTCATCCTGAACTTTTGGAAAAGTTACGTATGAGTGGTGCTTTGTTTCAGCCACTCTCTTAAAGTACTCGCGGATTCTGTATATTCTTTCATAAGTTTGGTAGTGCAAATCAACATCTTTATTCTCCATCAGGAATGAGGTTCCAACACTACATAAAGAACAGGTAAGAACTTGAAACAACGTAGTTCAGATGCTGATGATTCTATCGTGCGGTTTGTGAACAGACTGAGATCCAGCTGCTTACAAGACCTTCTTTGCGTTGAATGGCCATTTACAGCAAAACTCAGCTCATCCGCTAATTCTACTGAAGAACATTATAGTGATGATGATACGGTATAAATTCTGTAGTGTGTTGATGAATATCTTCCAGGAGTAGAATCTAATGACAGTGATAATTAAATTGATGATAATCAAGAATCTGATCACAAAAGTGGCACATCATCTGGCTGCCGGGTGTCCCTTAATAACATGACATCAATAAAATGTTTACCAGAATCCTGAGATGCACAGCCAGCTAGGACATGCATAAGCCCTGACGCGCAGTCGATAAAGAGTAATTTGCGTATCTTGTAAATGTTAGATAGATCATTTTAGTTTATGTTGCAAAAGAAGCACGAATGAATGATTTTCTTCTTGTAAACGCCATTATGTCACCACTTATTTAGCAAAAATGTGATTTTAGAACTTAAAAAAAAACAAACTATTACTTACGTAGGACTTTGAGCATTACAATGGAATATGTACTGAGGTATAACATTCACATCGTCAGACACAAATGAAGAAAATTTCTTTATAATGTCTGGACGAACCTTTTCAATCACCCACTGACCTGTAATACGAAATGCAAAGTGGTTAGTTAAGTAGCAGAAGAAATTAATCAACATGAAAAATGTTTTCATTCCTTAATACAATATTTTTTTCTCTTCTGTTATTACAGCTAAATAAGACAATAAAACAGGAATTGAAAGACAGAAAATTAATCAAAAAATATACTTCCTACCAAAAAAGAAATGCCAGGACTAGTTCAACATTATACACATCAAAATGAATATTCTATGAAAGTATTTTTCTTGTATCGCAAGAACAAGAAACATTAATGAGTGAACATGTGCATAAAAAGTTCTGTTGGAAAATCACACGCAAGGAGACCACATGAGAAATATTTCTGTAGAGAGAATACTACTAAAAATGACGCAAATAAATAGAATATAAGATGTTGACTAGACTGAACTAGAAAAGGACAGGATCCAAAGGGTAGGTTCTACTGATGATGGGTATGAAGCGTTCCATACAGCAGAGCGCAGTGTAACCAACATCGCCAATAGCGAGAAAAATAATTGGCACTGTCAATTTCTTAACGTGCCAGAGATGGAAAAGCCATATAAAATAAAAGCTTATTTTTCAGTACCTATGCCATAATGAGTGATTCCTAACTAGCCATCACTTCATTCTGTAACGTTCTGCGTTGACTTAACTTGCAGTTTCCTTTCCGATACTATTTACAGCTGGTGTTCCAAAGACGTACTGTTAACCCAGCCTATGTGCATCACTAGTCTAGGAGATGAAGGACTGCTAGGTTTTATTGTCCACATAATTTGGCCTGACATCTTCCAGAAGAGGGCTTGGACGGAGGTTAGTATAATGATCTGTATGCATTCTGCTAAGTACTACCATCTAATTCTTGGTTTTTCTTGTTTGCCACTTTTCACACACTCAGTTCACCATCCACTCACTAGAACATGTTTCAGTGCAATGTGACCATCAAGTTCAATTCCCTGCTTTTATGTCACAAAATCAGGGAATCTTCTTATTCTTCTTCTTCTATGGCTCTCCGGTCCGTATTCGGTCCATGGCCTCCTCAATTCTCCTCTTCCATTCGGTCCTCTGTTAGGTCCGTCTGTCCGAGGCTTTGAGTGAGGTTTCGAGACATCTTCATTTTTACGGTGCAAGGTTGTTAGCCTTGCGACCAATCCCTAACCTGGAGGACCAAGGTACCTGTCTTGGTGTGACCTTTCCCCCTCAGGGGAATAGGACTTGATAATAGCCACACTGGACTGAAACATTTTCAAGTGAACAGACAGTGAACCGAGTATGTGAAAAGTGACAACCAAGAATCAACACAACACAACAAGATGTTACTCTACAGAGTACCATGGCACCCGCCAAGGCTTTTTTGGGTGCCCACGTTGTTACGGAAAGAGGTTATACTGAATAATGAAGGTCGTTCAACTATAAACATTGTAATATCAAAGCGCAGATCTCGACTTACTGACGCCCATCTTGACGATTGTTTTCGAGCAGCAACATCATCCTACACTCCCAAATTTGAAAAACTGGCTGATGAAATGCAGCGCCAAACATCACACTAACTTCCCACTTGAGTAATAATAATTGTACTTATAAAAGTACGTATTTTTGATTGGATGGTTTCTTGTATCATTAAACGTCGTGTTGTTTTGTGTATTGTTTGGTGTCCATATCTTATTTGTCCAGAGAAAAGAAAATTTGGCTTTGTTAATTGGTTGGTGCCCGCCAATATCTCATAAACTCTCAAATGTGCCCGAAGGCAGAAAAATGTTGGGGACCACTGATCTAGAGCATTCGTTGCTGTATTCTTTCTTGTCAGAAGTTTGTTGTATGAAATCTGGAACAACTCCAATGACAAACATTACCTAAACTATCTTCTGATACCATGCTGAATACTAAACACAGCAGATACCGGAGCCCACTGCTGGGCACAATTTCGTCTCTCGCCCTCGCAACTTATGTACCGAAGTTCCCATCGCAATGTTATCCTTACATATACTTCTATGTGTTTCATGCCAATATTCCGCATGGACTTCCTATCTCCCTATGCGAGTGAACTGGTCTTCCAGCAAATGACAGACAGACATTTTCAAAGCTGCTGCAAAACAAAAACAGAGAAAAAGAAGGTTGAAAGGATACGAGTGAAGAAAACAGACAAAGTAATGAGTGCATCAGTCAAAAAATGATAACATTAAACTACATGGGTCAAGTACAGGCTCAAATACAGTGATATTACAGCTGGGAAAATTCATACTGCTGAGAGGAGGAAAGTAAGGAGTTCACAAAAACAAATAACCATTACACAATACTTGTCAAAATAAACATCACTTGTATAACAAATTTTAAATAACCTCTGATATCTTGTAAATGCACTAACCAAAATACTGTCACAAATGACGAACATTAACCAACAAAATACTCAATCCACGTAGCGTTTTTAAAAACGGAACCCACATATAATCAGGGCTACACAGTGCAATATTTTAAATTATTAATGTTTACTGATTATTCGTGTGTCTTCTTCCCTTCACTAGCCTGGATAACAAGAGTTCACCGCAGTTTCGGATTTCAAAACTAGGAATTTATAAATCATCTAAATGGCTATTATTCAGACGGGCTCTGGGGCCTACCCAGCCTCCTGTCCAAAGGGTACCGTGGCCCTTTCCCGGGGGGGGGAAAGCATAGATGGGGCATGATGCTAAATACTCCCACCCAAAGTGCCTACATGGTGTATAGCAGAAGATAAACAGATAACATCTGCTAAAGGAAGACTGTGCCACAAAGTTAGTACTCGTCTTCAGATAGCATTTCTTAATAACTGCTTTGTTTTTTACTTACCAAATGGGCCTGCCACTCTCACAGGCCATAAAGGGTTGAAAGGCTGCGTGACAAAAACAATGGCTTTGACCCACAATGGTACATTATATCTCTGACCAATATCTACTGGCTTCTCTGGAAAGCCCCATGGATCTGCCAAGATGAGATGTTTCACCCTGGGAAATGCAATCCGTCACATATATAATTATCAAAGACTGCCTTTTATCAGAAAAGAAATGCTGGTTAGGTTAGGTTAGGTTAGGTTAACAACGCTATTTCAGCTGCAAAGGCACTGGATGAATTGAGACAATGGTTACACACAATGAACTGCACATTATAAAGTGACCATGGCCTATTATTTTAAGGTACCAGTACCATCCCAGGAGAGACTGAGGAAAATCACATTCAGATTAGCCAGTGCTCCAGCCAAGATCCAAGCCAGGTATAAATGCAGTTTTAATGAGACTTTTTTTTTCTTATAACCAAATTCAGTTAAATTATAAATTTAAAATAGAAATGAATGTAGGTTTTGGCAATGAGTAATCTGGCTTAAAATGCCCTTGTCATACTAATTCATTTTCATCACTGACAGAATAATCAAATGAGGCCTGGGTATTACCAGTCTGTAATCTGGGAACAAAGTTCTGAGTTAGGCAACACAATGCTATCAGGAATCTAACCAAAGAAAACTGTTTCGACAATGATCGGAAATAGTTCAACATGGAGAGGCCGTGTTGTGTAGACACTGGTCAAAGTTTAAAGTACACAAGCATGACTAAACCTGCTAGTGTACATACACAATGACTCAGACACAAAGAACACACGTGATCTGAAAATAAATACAATCAAGTTCATACGGTGTCTTTTATTCCTCACGGACAGAAGCTCGTATTTAACTTTTGTATAACAGGAGTATGAACACTGATCTCACACACGTCTGCTACTTTATTTTTTTATTTTTTGATGGTATGAAATTGAACATTACAACAACACAATTTTGAAATAAGACAAAAGGAATAATGTTAAGAATAAAATTATTGCTCCGCACTAGCTACTGACCCACCGCCTCAGGACAGAAACGTCCATAACACAGAATGCAATTGATAAATTTGGGGCAAAACTACTAGTTACATTACATTGCACTTTTCATTAAGATAAGCTTCAAATTTTGTATAATATATCTATTTGAATATATGTATAATATGTGAAGAATGAAAATTCCGAACAGGTTGAAATGTCAAGTCAGAAAGTCACTGATACTTTAAATTGCTTGGACTTAAACTCAAAGACAGCTTAATTGAAAATATTTCAAATTGTGTCGAAGAACCAACATATTTCTTCCTGTAACTTCAACACACTGCAAAATATATTCACACATGCAACAAAATGATACACACACATCACATATTACATGCAATGTACCTCCACCCATCCAGTCTTACTTCCATTTATTTATTTATTTATTATTATTTAGTGTTCTGTCTGACGACAGGTCCATATGAACAGGATCCTTCCATCCTTTTCTCGGACTGGGACCTGTTCATATACGTTCTTGGCAGATGATCCAGAAGTGGTTTGCCATTCCCTTCTTCTGTGTGT